AATAGGATTATGTAAATGAAAGGAAAGCAAACAGTGATGTTGAAGGTCTCCATTGCTTAAAGGAACTTGTTGAATATATTGAAGAATTAATGAAAAGTTTATCCCCTTTATTAGCAAAGATGTTTTTAAACGGGACAACATTATATATAAACAGGAAAATAAATTACAGGCCAAAATGGTTAATCACTTCGCGATGACTCTTTTGAAATGCATTTCATCCATTGAAAAATTCGACTATTTTTACATGGATGTTACTGAGTCCTCTTTCAGCACAGGAGTAGGTGGCATCATCATGTGTAGCTGAAGAAAAAAGGAACAAAAATTGATGACAGTGCTCCTTTTTGTTAGCGGACATTTGAAAAAATGTTGATCGAGAAATGCAGCAGTGGAACAGCAAGTCATGCTATGAAAGATGGTAGCAAATGCTTCAACCACCAAATTCGAAGAGCAAGTTGCAGAGTTGTTAACTTCATGCCAGCACACGTTCCACATACCGGCTCATAATGCTAATGCTGGCCATGATTTCACATTAATGAATGTTCAGTGGCCAAGGACCAAATAAGTTGGATGTGACCAATGCAGAAACCATGTGAAGACATAAATGGACATAGACTGCAATGTGGAGCAATTTCAAAAGCAAATGCTGCAAAAAGAGGAACCATTAAGGAGAACCAGCTCACTAGGGAGATATATTGAAAGAGATCTGTAATTTAGATACTTATAATGTATTTCAGATAAACAGCAAGTGTTTTTAGAGTAAGCATGTCTCATGCAATATTTTTCTTTTATCTCAAAGTGTATCTGCGTAGGCAATTAGAAGTCCTTCTGATTTAACTGGGTGTTCTGTGCCGCCACCCTTTGGTCGCCTCTGTCTGTAATGCCTCCATCCTTCTCTTCATGACCAAATCCTAATTGTCTTTCAAGGTCCACCTCAAAACCCCAGTGATAATGACTCTTGGCAATGGCGAACTGTGTCCATCAGGGCTCTTAAGTGTCTTACGTGTATTAAATCACTTATTCCTTCCTGAGGTAATCACCCTTGGTTACACTTGTACATAGTTTAAGGAAAATCCTATTTTTCCTTTCTTATGGATGAAGCAATTTGGGCACAAAGAAATTAAGTGACTTACCAGAAGGTACCCAATCAGCAAGTGGTAGAGTTGGGGTTAAAGCCAGATGGTGCGGCTCTGCAGCCGGTCCCTGCCTCAGCCACCGGCGTCTGTCCTGTTTGGCTCTACGAGGCCCTTTGAAGGCTCTGACCTGCTTTCCCATGGAACTTTTGAACCACACAATTGTGTGGTTTATTACATTGTTTTCTCTTGTGAAAGAGACTAAAATTACTGATTTGGGGCTCAGTTAACCCCTTTAAAAGGAATTTGGCAATAGCCAAGAGGTGAAGCAACCCAAGTGTCCAAGGCCAGAAGAATGGTAGAACAAAATGTGACATACACACATAATGGAATAATGTCCAGCCCTTAAAAGGAAGGAAGTTCTGACACCTGTTACAACAGAGACGCACCTTGAGGATGTTGGCTAAACGAAATAAGCCAGTCTCAAAAAGACAACGATTATGATTCCACGTATGTGAGGTATCTAGAGTAATCAAATTCACAGGGAAAGAAGCAGAACACTGGTTGCCAGGGGCTGGGGGAAGGAGGAAATGGAGGAGTTGTTGTTTAATGGGTAGAGTTTCAGCTTTTCAAGGTAAAAGAGTTCTAGGGGTGGGCTGCGTAACAGTGTGAATGCACTTAACTCCACTGAACTGTACACTTAAAAATGGTTAAGACAGTAAGCTTTATGTTTTATTTTTTACCACAATTAAAAATTTTGAAAAAGAAAAATGGGATTTTGCCTTCTCAGCTTCTCCCCCTCTCCTGCTCTCTAAGTAGACAGTTTTTGGCAGCTTCATGTCTCAGTTTTTGAGATGAGAAAGACGATGAGACAATGGAGAAGCCAAACCAAGGCACTTGCATTGAAAAGGACTGAGAGAAACCAACTATAAGATAGAGGAGAATGGAGGGTAAATTGAAGGGAGGGTGGGGCAGGAACCCACTTGGGCTGGTTCTGTGGGGTGGAGTGTGGGGGCAAAGAGAATTTTTAGTTAGGAAGAGCTTAGAGTGAACATGGAGAATGGCTTCCGGTAGCAGTGACAAGGAATGAGGCAAGGAGGATTTTAAGTTGCTCTGAGTTCTGATTTGGATCCTCTTTGATATTACTGTAGAGACATTAATAAACACTTTGTTTTTGTGGACTGGACTGTTGTTTTTGAACAGAACTCTGGAGAAAAAGTAAGATTAGGTTAAACTATGTAAAATTGCCAATATTTAAGTTTTTGACCCAGAAAAATGGCGTTTTCCCATGGTCAACCTAGTAACTGATATTTATTGAGCAATTACCATGTATCACGCACAGTTCCAAATGCTTTACGAGTGTCGACTTATTTACTCCTCATAACAACCTCATGAAGTAGCTACTATTATCCCCATTCTACAGTTGAGGAAACTGATGCAGAGATTAAGTGCCCGAGCTAATAAGTGGTCAATACACAACCTGAACCCATTGGGCTCCAGAACCAATGCTCTGAAACATGTGGGGCTTGGGCTTTTACTTGCAAGGCACCGAGCTAGGTGGTATGGGAAATGCAAAGGGCAGGGAGATACAGCTCTGATGCATGCAGGTAAGACATGGCCTCAGATTACTAGGTAGAAGACAGCAAGTGAAGTAACAGGAAGAAAGGCGCAGGGAAAGCCTTGGCGGCAGATTCCACAAACACGGGGAGGGCAGCACAATGCGGGAGGGCGGGGTGAGACGTGGCATTTCTCTCGTGGGTCAGGTGATGCACTGCCAGGCACAAGGGAGAGAGATAAGGGCTGAATCCCCTGCCCACCATGCTCTTGTGGAATTTTTCAGTGTATTAGTTATTTGTTGCTGCCTAACCAAATACTGTGTAAGTTTGCAGCTTAAAAAGAGTGTTTTTTATCTCACAGCTTCTGTGGGTCAGGAATTCAGGAGCAACTAAGCTGAGCGATTCTGGTTCAGCGTCTCTCATGCAATTGAACTGAAGACACTGGCCGCGCCTGCAGTCTTCTGAAGGCTTGGCCTGGGGCTGAAGGGTCCACTTCCAAGATGGCTGACCTACACAGGATTGGAAGGGGATCTCGTTTTCTTACCACCTGGGCTTTTCTACTTTCTCAGAGAGTAAAAATCTCAGAAGCCACCCTTGACTTCAGTGGCCAGAACTAGGTTACCCGTCCATCCCCTAGTGAGAGAAGCTGGCGGGGTATCTGACTTCCCAGCTTCTCCACCAGAAGCAGGGAGAAGGGAGGCTGTGATTGGCTGCTGGGTTAGCGTCTTCCAGGACTACCCAGCCAGAACCCATCATGGCCAGGGGCAGGGAGGGCTCTACTTGGTAGGGCCAGGTCCATCATACCCGCTTGAACCCACAAACCAAGCAGGATTTGCAGGGCAAAGAGCAGGATGTTTGCCCAAAGCAAGGCTGTTTATTAGAGCCTTCATACAAAAACATCCGCCCACACAAGAGGTGCAGAATGTCCTGCTGTAGGGATAAACACACAACTCTTTGACCTGGGAAGTAAGCTTTAGTTCTAAAACAAAAGGATGGGAGGAAGGGTGTGGGTGACAGTTTAAACCCAGGCGCGGGTGGGAGGAGTGTGAAGCGGGGCAGGAGGTCGGGGAACAGAGCATTTCAGGGTTACAGATCAGGCTGGAAGGACAGGAGAAGTCAGCGATAATCAAGGCTAGCCCTGAGTGCCGAGCTATGGTAGGATTTAATACTCACAACAGCCACGTGAGGTTGGTTTTACTTCATTCCCACTACATTCTCGGGTACCAGATAAGAAAATGGAGAGCTAGGGAAGGCGAGCCATTTGCTTCACTCCCCTCACTCAGGAAGTGGACACTGGCCAGACCAGAATTCAAACGCAGGTCTTTCTGTTTAGTCCCCAAACCATCTGACTCCAGAGCTTCCAGGCTTAAAAGGGACACAGACCTGGTTCCCTACAGAAAAGAAACAGGCCCTCTTTAAATCACACGAAGTTACTCTTCCTGGAAAGATCTGAAGGCAGCAGCTACATACCAGGGCCATGTTATCTGCTGTGTTTTAAGACTGGAGTTGGACTCTCACTGTGAAACATCTGCAATCCCCACACTGAGATGAGATTTCTGGCGGAATTCAAAACAAACTTTACTAACGCTGGGGCCAAAGAACAGGTCCCTCCAGCTGTAAAGGGATTAGCTCCACCGCCCTGTCTCAAGGCCTCACCCCAATACACCGACCTTCCGGAAGCCGGCCTGGAGCGGCAGCTGGGCCAAGGGGAGGGGTGAGCCCGGGGGCTGTCCATCCACACACCAGAGTCGCAGGCACTGGAGAATGTGGCTGGCCAGCTGGTGGTGGACGGTATGGGTGGTGTGTTCCCGTTGCTGTAAAATATAATGTAAGTCTATTCAAGGAAATGTAGAATATAATCTAAACTGCTATCTTCGGGTGGAGAGACCGGGGACGTACCTTTTTTCCTAGTATAAGAGGAGCTTTTAAAAAAAGACATAAAAGAACCAAATATATTTAAAACAATACAATAGTTGTAATATCTAGGTAAATAAGTGGCACCTAAAGAAGAAAAAATTAAAAGAAACTGAAGGCAAAGCCAGGCCCAACTCCGGAAGACTCTACGGAAAGGATTCTGCTCCTCCTCCCCGACCCTGCGCCCCGGCACTAAAACCCAGCCCCAGCCCCCGGGCTTGGGGACAGCAGGCCCGGGAGCCTCCAAGTCGCTGCCCTCCTACACAAAATAACGTCTCCACGCCCGCTCCGGCGGGCTGGGGCTGCGCCAGGGCCTGCGCGCCCCCGGCCTGCACAGACGGAGAGGGCGGACGGCCGCCAAGGGGTCAAAGACAGGGAGCTAGGTGCGGCCCGGCGGAGTCTGCTCCGTGGGCGGTGCCTGGCGCCGCGTGACCCGCGGCCGCGTGACTCGCGCGGGGCGGGCCCGCCGGCACTGTTGCTGCAGCCGCAGCGGGAGGTGTCTGCGTAAGTGGGGAGCCGGGCTACCGAGGACCCTCTTCGCGGGAAGGGGCAGGGGCGGGCGCGGGCGCGGGCGGGGTTCAGGCGTGCCCTTGCCTCCAACTCCCCGGGGCCGGGACCCCAGCGACTCGCGAGGACCCCACACCCAGACGGGGCCGGAGGGGCGATGGGAGTGCAGTCGGGTTGGGGGAAGCGCTCCTGCCCTCCACCGACGGCCGATTCGGTCACTTCTGCCCGGGGCTTCTCACTCTTAGCGCAGTGCAGGGGAGCAAATGCCCTCCTTCAGGAGCGATTACCTTTGCCTCTGTGTTCTGGGGGAAACTGAGGATCCACAAGCAAGGCCGGCCGGTCAGAGACCCCCCTCTCCAGTACTGAGAGAACGCATCTCTCCAGCAAACCCACGGCCCCCCACCGGCCCTGGTGGCCCACGATAAACCCTTGGCCCCTCTATTTCTTGAGGAGCCCGTGCGTAGAGACTACCCAGCGGGTGGGGCTGGAGGGGTGGGGAAGGGGAATGGGTCGAGCTACAAGATCAGGGCCAACGTAGACTATGGTTACATGCATTCTGTCATTTAATGTTCACCATCGTGACGTTTGCTAGGTAGACACTTATGTCCCGGTTTTCCCATTAGAGGAAACAGACTCAGGGAACTTTGGTCCTTAGACCAAGATCCTGCAGTAGGTAATCGAAGGAATCGCGATTAGAACCCAGATCTGTCCCCGCAGCGGCGCCTCCTGGTGGGGGAAGGAGGCACCGGGCCCAGCGGTCAGCTGGTCTCCGAACTGAAAGTGAGTGCCTTCCTCCCCTGCATCCCTCTCCCCCCAACACTTATTACCACTGAGTCCTTTTGTCACCTGCCGCCTGCAGGACAAGATGAAGCTCATCATCCTGGACCACTATTCTCAGGCCAGCGAGTGGGCCGCCAAATACATCAGGAACCGCATTATCCAGTTTAACCCAGGACCAGACAAGTACTTCACCCTGGGGCTCCCCACTGGTGCGTTGTGGGAGGGAGAGAGTCGGGGGAGAGAGTAGCAATTAGGGGACTTTAGAGGGCCAGTAGGTGGGCTCACTCAGCCAAGGGACGCTAAGGAGGGCCCTGAGGTGCTGGTGCTCTGAGTGAAAAGTCCCCAGCCCCCCGCAGGTGTAAAAGAGAAGACCCGGCTTCCTTTACCGGTTGGCTCGGCTGCTGCCTGGTCCGGACACTCCTGGAACAGGAAAAACTTGATTTTTGGCTATTTCCTAAGTAATTTCCTGTCAGCCATGGGTTAGCAGGATTAAGTCCCAGCACCATAAGGTATACATTTTATGTAATGAATGAATTTCTGTTCTGTGCACCTGGAGTGCTACCAGCGAGTGCCACCATCCTTGGGAGAACTGAGGAGATAGTCCCTCGAAGCATTTCCTGTGAGGCTTAATGAAACACAGGATCTACGTGAAAAACAGCCCCAGTTTCTCTGGGAAAAATCAGAATGTTGTCTTTATAGGGAGACATTTTTGACCCCAGCTCCTCAAAGCAGATGTGCTGCCTCTGTCCGTCAGAAGTGGGGTGGGTTAGTCCCAAAGGCCCAGCCACTGGAACAGCGGTCCAGCCTTTTCTGCAAGTGGCCAGTAATAAATATGTTACACTCCACTGGCCATTCAGCCTCTGTTGCAGCTACTTAATTGGCCCTTGTAGTTCACAAGCAGCCACAGGCAATCCCCAAATGAGTGAACATCAATAAAAGTCAGTGGACGAAGTTTGAGTCTATGTAATTTTCATGTCACAAAGTAATATTCTTTTGATTTTTAAACCGCCCCCCCTCAAATGTAAGAAACAGTTTTAGCTCATGAGCTGTACAAAGACAGCGGCAGCTGGATTGGCTGCGGGCTGCAGTCTGGCAGCCTCAGCACTGGAGGTTTGTGGGAGCAGCGTCTGTACTTGTGAAACCACTGTTGCTTCTGCTTCCGGCCACTTGGGGGCTGCACTGACATCCTGTTTTCTAGAGGGGTCAGAGTCGGGGCTCCTGCTGAAACCCTCCCTAGCTCCCCGTCAGCTGCAGAATCAGATCCAAGCTCTTCAGAGGGGCCTTCAGGGCCTTCCAGTACCTGCCCCCTCTGCCTGTCACACTTTAACTGGCACAGCATTTCCACACAGGTTCTTTGGACCATCCCTTCTGTTAGAGGGAGCACTGGACAGGGTTCCAGGTGGGACCCGCAGAAACCAACTCTGGCTCACTTAAATAGGAAGGCGTTTATTGGCTAGATATTGGGGAGCTCAGAGGACGGGAAGACTAGAGGCTTTGGAAAAGGGATGAGATGGTAAATGAACCAGCCCAGGGGAAGGACAGGGAAGCTGTGCAGCAAAGGCTGTTACAGGTGCTAGCGATACAGCGACAAACAAGAGAGACAAGTTTCTGCTTTCCTGAAGCTTAAATTGTAGTGGGAGAGACAGATAGTAAACAAGTTAATGAGCAAAATATAGTGTTAGATGGTGATAGGCAGGAAAGAGAGAAATGAAGCAAGGACAGGGGATCGGGAGGTGCCTGGGCAGGGGTGGCGGTTGCAGCGTTGGATATGGCAGTGAGGAAGATCTGAGAAAAATTTTGAGTAAAGGCCTAAAGAGGTGAGATGTAGCCATGCAGGCACCTGAAGGAAGAGCGCTGCTGGCGAAAGGAGTGTGTGAGGGCCCCGAGGCAGAATTGCTTAGAGCAGGATGAGTAAGCGGGGGAGAGGGAGTCCGGAGCCACGTTATGTAGAGCCTTGGTTAGGACTGGTTATTATTCCGAGTGAAACGAGATGTCATTGGTGGGTTGTAGAGAGAGTGATATGATTTGGGTGGGGTTCTATTCTTTCAATCTTTTTCTCTTAAAAATTTCATATATTCAGGAAAGCTGAAAGAATAGTACTGTACCATTGACCTAGATTCACCAGTTATTAACATTTTTGTCACATTTGTATTCATCTCTTCTGGCTCATGTTCTATCTACACACACAATTTTTCTCTTCCGAATTCACTGAAAGTAATTTCTAGACATCTTGACACTTTACTGCTAAATCCTTCAGCATCTATCTCCTTAGTTAAGGACATTCCCTTATATAACCACAATACCATTATCATACCTAAAAAAGTTAAAAACCATTCCATAATGTCATCAAATATACAGACTATATTAAACATTTTTTTGTAATTGTCCATATTTATCTTTTATCACTTAAAAAATTAATCCAATGTCCAGTCAGGCCTTGTGCTGATCTTGTCTTGTAGTCTCTAATGGTCCTCCTGTCTTTTTTATGTTTTATGACTGACTTTTCAATAAGCCTCAACCTGCAGTTTGCTGCTTCTCAGGGAAGTCTTCCCTGAACTCTCAGGCTGGCCAGTGCCTCGCTGTGGTACAGCTGACATTACAGCTTCTTGTCCCCACTCCGAGTCAGTGAGGTCTTCCAGAGGGGCTGCTATGTCTCTGGCTCCTTTGCCTGTCACGCACATAGTGGTTGCTCAGGGAGTGTCACGTCAGTAATTGAGCCTGATGTCCACTCGAGTACTAATTACAGTCATTTCAGTCATCGGTGTGCTGCATGCCGGGGATTTAGGAGTGAGCAAAACAGACACAGCTCTGCCCCTCTGGAACTTACAGTCTGGCAGGGACATAGGTAGGTAGACACGCAACTGAGGCACGACACGATTGGAGCATTTGGGGAGGACTTCAGATCTGACTCATTCCTGGGTGCCCTCTGGGCTTCCAGGAGCTGGGGGCTGAAGGGCGTTCTTGGCTGTGGCCTCTTGCAGGGAGCACCCCGCTTGGCTGCTACAAGAAGCTAATTGAGTACTATAAGAACGGAGACCTGTCCTTCAAATATGTGAAGACCTTTAACATGGACGAGTATGTGGGTGAGTTTTCCCTTTCAATCCTTACCTGATTCCAGGAGTCTGTCCTGGCCCTCACAGGCTCAGCTCAGGAGAGGAATCGAGTGTCTCAGGAAACCCGTGACATTTGGTGATACCGATCTCTTCCAGGCCTTGGTTTACTCAGCTATAAAATGAGGATAATAAAACTGACCTCATAGGTCATGAGCATTGAATGACAGGACAGATGTGGAGGCCTCTAATGTAGAGGAAACACATCCTAAATATTCAAGTAGTTTCTCCTCCGCCTCCTCCCCAGTTCCATGCCGCTTCCATTTAGGACAAATGATTGGAAGCGGGATGGTGGCTGGGGCGTGTCCCCGTGGGGTGGGCCTGTGTCTGGACTTTCTCTCCAGTGTCCGTCCTCTGGCGCCCCTTCTGTCAGGGACATTGGGAGGGGAGCTGAGACTGGCGTCCTTCCCCCTGCTGGAAAGGACACCGTGGTCTTCTGTCACCTCCTTCAGAGCCCCCCACCCACTCGTAATTTTGTAATGGCTTCGTTTGAAATACTATTTTTTAATTTGTAGCAAAATACACATAACATAAAATGTACCTTCCTAACCATTTTTATGTACATTCAGTAGCATTAAGCGCATGCATATTGTTGTACAACCAATCTGCACAGCTGCTTTCATTTTGTGAAACTGAAACTCTATACCCACTAAACACCAACTCCCCATTCCCACTCTCCGCAGTGCCTAGCAAACACCATTTTACTTTCTCTGTGCATTTGATTGCTCTTGGTACCTGATGCAACTGGAATCATATAGTAGTTTGTCTTTTTGTGACTGGCTTATTTCATTTAATGTAATGTCCTTGAGGTTCATCCACGCGGTAGCATGTGTCAGAATTTCCTTCCTTTTTAAGGCTTGCTGTAAACATTCTTGATGTTATTAAACACTGAATACTTGTTTAAACATTCTTTTTCTTCTTGGATGAAAAAAAGTCTCCTTTAGGGAAGCCCTGAGATCATTCTAACCAGCTGGTGTGCAAGCCGGGGCTCAGGCTAAGCAGGCATCACCGGGGGAAACTGTGGGGTCTGGGGGCACAGGGTGAGGGGTGTGCTTGCTTCCTGGGTGGGCCTCACCTCACCCATGGGTGCCTAGGACCTGCAGAGGCCCAGCGTACCCTGGCCTCCCGCCTGTGGTCCGTCCCTTGTGAAAAGGAGGTCAGAACGAGGGGATTCTTCAGGCCGATGGTGTCTAGCGACTCTGGCCCAATCCCGTAGTCACAGGTGGTGGTGGTGGTGGTTAGACACTTCGGGACATCAGCTCAGCCTGTCCTGAGGGGGTGAGGGTCAGAGGGCTGGTGCCCAAGGCTCCCTGCGTGGCATTTCCCTGAGAGCGCCACTGGGGGTCTGGGGATACCCCGGCACCATCCTGGGGAGGGAGGCCCTGGCTTGCCCTTGGCACATTTGAGTGTGGCCGCGGCCCCACAGGTCTTCCCCGAGACCACCCAGAGAGTTACCACTCCTTCATGTGGAACAACTTCTTCAAGCACACGGACATTCACCCAGAAAACACCCACATTCTGGATGGGAATGCGGCCGACCTGCAGGCTGAGTGCGACGCTTTTGAAGAGAAGATCAAGGCCGCAGGCGGAATTGAGCTATTTGTTGGAGGTGAGCGTGACACTCTGCAGGTGTCCGGGCCACACCCAGCTTGGTTAGAACACATTCCTGTCTCAAACAGCTTCTCTCTGTGCTAGTCACGGTGGGAGTCCCTCATTACCCTAGGCAGGGAAGGCAGAGTGGGACCCCTCGCTCCCTGCCCTGGTTCTGCTCAGTAGCTGTGTGACCTTGGATATCTCCTTTTCTGCACTTCAGTGCCTTGGGTGTAAACTGAGAAAATTGAATTTGGGCTCTGAGATTCCATTTCCCAATCTTAAAGCTTTATAGCTCAGTCATGGGATTTAGCTAAACAGTTCAAATCACAGGCTCATATAGTTCCAGAAGATTCCATACCCAGCCCCTGCATGCTATAGATAGCCAAGTGAACTCCAGGGAAGGTTTGTGGTTTGCCCACCATTAGCTGGCCAGCGCAGTGGAGACAAGGCAGGGACCTAAGGTGTTCCCTCTTGGATTTGTGCCCTTGTTCCTAACCTGGGTGCTCTCTACGTTGCCATCTGTGCCCGGCTCTGGAGTCACTCACAGGGGTATGAGCTGGACTCCTTTCTACTGCTCTAGATTTCACTTTACTTCAAGATGGGGAGGAAGAGGCCAGAACGCTCATGTTCTGAGGTTATACAAACTTGGCAGCCCTGGTGTTTGCAGGCCCCGTGTGTGACTCACCGTGACTCTGTCCCAGTAGCAAGAGCCCCGGCTATTTGCAGGAGAGAAGTAGAGGTCACACTGCGGTGATCTGGGGAGATAGCAGCTTTGTGGAGTGCCCCTTGCTTAGCTTTTTGAGGATGGTAGCAAGTTCACCATGGGCGGGAGGGGGTAAAAGGGAAGACCATATGCTTCGCGTACCTGCCTGGGGTCAATGAGAGGAGAGACGGTTCTGGGGGAGTTTTGCAGACCCTGGTGGGGAAGGAGAGGGTCCAGCCTTGCAGCTGTGGGTCGCTGGCACTGACAGGGCTGCCCTGTCTCCCCTGGGCAGGCATCGGCCCCGACGGACACATTGCCTTCAATGAGCCGGGCTCCAGTCTGGTGTCCAGGACCCGTGTGAAAACGCTGGCCATGGACACCATCCTGGCCAACGCAAGGTTCTTCGACGGAGATCTTGCCAAGGTGCCCACCATGGCCCTGACGGTGGGCGTGGGCACTGTCATGGATGCCAGAGAGGTAAGGGCACAAGGAGTCCACAGGCCTTCGCTGGGGGGTTCGACTGGTCGTCTTGTTCAGAAATGTTAACTGTACAGGTACCACCCGAATACACTTGTATTCAAAATGAAGACATAACTAAGGATAAAATCCCAACCAACCCTGCACGGTTCCTCCATCCTCTGGAGGGGGCCACTGGTTCCGGTGTGAGGTGACTCCTTGGCGCCCAGGCCCCTGCTCGCGCACCCCTTCCGGGCTTCTCGCAGGCAGAGGCGCCCAGCACCACTGACATCCGAGTCTGAATTTGCAGCTGCCCAGTGACTAAGAGGGACCCTCCGGCTCCCTGCACTTGGCGGGGTGTGTTTGAAGGGAACTCCTGTAGCCCTAGGATGTTTGTGGCTCTAGCACTGTGTTCAGGGATTCATAAACGTGCAAAAGAGTGATTGAAATATAAATGTCCTAAACTGAATTTAGTAAGGTTTTCCCTAGAAAGTTGGGTAACATTTGAAGTTTTTGTGGTTCCATTTTTTCTTCCTTGGGTATATTAAGTGAGGAGCAGATAGAGATATTTTAGCTTTAAGCTTCTATGCCCAAGTCTGTAAACAAACATCCATGTGAGAAAGGTTCCGTCTAAAGTGCACCTTTGTGCAACGTGCGCCGGTGCTGGGGCTGTTGGGTCGCCGTCAGTTGGTATCTCAGGCGGCCACCCCGCTGGTCTTGGGCTCACAGCTTGTAGGCCTTCCCTGTCGTCTTAGTGTGTCCTAACCTGAGAAAGAGCCTAGGATGGAAATCAGGAAACTCTCTTCTGAAATTATGTCTGGGGTCCTGAAGAGTCATATTCTCTCTATGCCTGTTTTCTCACCTTTTAAGGAAGGAACAGTAGTAAGTCCTCTTGATGACTCCATGGTACAAGTGAATCACAATGAGAGGAAATCCACAGAGCTGACATCTTTACAATCACTCTCTGGCACTTTTTTGGTATTGTAACTGCTGAAGAGAGCCTGTGCCTTTTTTTATTTAAACAAGAAGCATCACCCCAAGTCACATTGGTAGGTCTAATACTCAGAACTGAAAGTGACCAGGTTAAGGGGCAGCCTTGTTGGGATTGGGCCTCACCGCCCATGTGACTCTCAGCCTTGCTCCAAGGCCCCCCAAACCCCGGCAGATGGGACCCATCTTTCTGTTTGTGATTGTGACCACTCACCCAGCCTAGGACCTCCCAGCACTGAGTATCCGAACAGCTGGGATAAGAGGTGGGCCTTTGTATGGCATGTCTGTTCTCAGGGCACTTGCTGCACCATCAGAGGTGCCAGGGGGCCGTGTGGCGTGGTGGTCAGGACATGCACGTAGGGTCCTAAGACACTGGGGTGAGTTACTTACCCTGCCCCCCAACCACAGCCCATTTGCTTATCATAGAACAAGGGGCTAACGATGCTCCCTACTCAGACTACGGTGTGATGGCGCACGGGGAGCCCGCAGCACAGCAGGTGTTGCATGCGATCGACTTGCGATGATATAAAAACAGTAGTCCTTACAGCTGTTCGGGGTGGCCACACTCAAGTTCTGGTGCCTGAATTCCGGGTTTGCTGCTGCTCCTCCGTGATGGGCTTGTTCTCTGATCCCCAGGTGATGATCCTCATCACAGGTGCTCACAAGGCGTTCGCTCTGTACAAAGCCATCGAGGAGGGAGTGAATCACATGTGGACCGTGTCTGCCTTCCAGCAGCATCCCCGCACTGTGTTTGTGTGCGACGAGGACGCCACCCTGGAGCTGAAAGTGAAGACTGTCAAGTATTTCAAAGGTGAGGGCGGGGTGGGTCAGAGTAGGTGGCCAGGATATGCTGGCAGTGGGAAGCGGACCTAGCTTTCATGCTCTGGACATTTTAATCATCGCTCCTGTAAAAATCAAACCCTGTCCCAGAATACAGTCATTTCTCTTCCATCCGTAACTGTGAGGATCCATTCTGGAGAGCTGTTTACTCTGAGGAAGAAAGAAAATGAAAGTCCTAGTCCAAGGTCGCTGTGGTGACGTCTGCAGCACTGTTGAGCCTCGGGTGGTTTATCTTCCCAGCTCTAGCAGCACAGGCCTTTCCCAGGCCTTTTCTGAGAAAAGGCACCAGCTATCCTGAGAGTCTTGTTCTTCCACTTAAAGAGGACACACTGCTTTAAGCAAACGTGTGAGAAAATCCTCTTTAGTGAGCAGGCAACTTTGGAATTTGTTCTTTGCTGAAAAGATTAACCTTTTAATGGCCATCTCTCTTAGAGATCACATTTACCAAAGTCCTGTGGATCCCAGCATTCACAGGGAATCACCGATTCTTTCCCTAGGCTTTGGGTGTTCCATTTGGATCCACAGAGAAAACATGATGAATATCAGTTCTAGGACAAAACTTGAGAGCTCTTCGATACTCCTGTTGAAAGTTGTGGAACTCTGCCTCTACCTGAATTAACTACTTTTTGTTTTTAATTTTCTTGTAGGTTTAATGCTTGTTCATAACAAGTTGGTGGACCCCTTGTACAGTATCAAAGAGAAGGAAACAGAGAAAAGCCAGTCTTCTAAGAAACCATACAGTGATTAGCCTGTGCTAATCCTAGTGTCAAGTACCTCATGGGGACAGGCAGGTCTTTCTGGAAATTGCCCTTAGGAGGACAGAGCTGGCATTTCTTCAATCCAGTATGATTACTCCAGATAAATGAACATACTGTTCCTGGCTATAGGGCGTGAAGTCTAGTCGTGGAGTTTTGCTACAGGAAAAATGACTTGTAACTTAATCAGAAAAAAAAAAAAATCACTCCATAATTTTGATGTCTGCTCCACAGAAACTAGGGGTTTTTTGCTTTTTGTTCTGCCTCTGGCACTGTTCACGTTACAGCACACTCCTGTCAGGAATCTGTCATGTGCAGACTCAGTTCAGGGGAACAGGGGCATGTTGTACTGGACAAAGCCCCCTGGTGAGGCTTGAGAGCCCCTCTTGAGCAGGCCTGCCCCTTATTTGAGTCGCTGTTCCAGGTGAGTGAACAAACTCTCAGTGTCTAAAATCTGCATAAAGGGCAGTCAGTCTGTCTGGTCAGTAACAAGTGCCATGGGAAGAAAACTGCCCCTTTCTTTCCTTAGTCTCCCCCCTCCCCGCCAGTTGGCCTTTCCACGAACTCTGAGGACTCCTTTGGGGAGGATTTGGGAAGACAGGGCTAAAGAGAAGGCTTTGCTGATTAACTCAGAGCCTCAAGGGGCCCACAGACGTCAAACCCTCTCCCCCAAGGACCCTCCAGCATGGAGAGGAAGGCGGAAGCCCTTTTCCCACTAGAGTCCTGTGTTTTTGTCCCCAGGCCTCACCGTGGCTCCCCATTTTACGCTCACTAACACAAAGGCCCCCTGGGGCAACGGACACGGTCACTTCCAGTGCGGTGTCCAGCCAGGGCGGAGAGGGCTGGGGCAGGTGGCTCAACTATGAGAGTCGTCACAAGTGATGGTTCCCCCGCTTCCCTAGCAGCCAAGTGCCCAGATGACACACAGATGCTTCTGAAGTTGCCTTTCCCTGCCTATAACACCCTGCCCCGCTGACCCTCTTTTGAATGTGATTGTGCTGTCATTCTATTTTAAGCTACCAGATCAATGGGCTTGTTTACAATGTCATATTTTCTATTAAATCGAGTATTTTCAGATGCGTCAATTGTGTACTTTCTTCCCCCCGCCCCTGCCCAGGGGAAAAAAAGATCAGAAGACGGTCTGGGTGCGTAGGTATTTGGGGAGCTGCTGGCGAACCAAGCTGCGCCCTCCGCACACAGCTCTGCAGGACGTCACAGCTGCCGCTACTGTTGATCTTTTTCATTTACTGGGGGGAAAATAAACTATTGTATAAAAATGAAGCTCCTGTGTGAAAAATGACAGGAATGAACAGTTGAGCAATAAATTACCATGTTCTAATTGTACTTGGGAGCCAAACAATGATATGGCTGTTAAAAATAAGGCAGATCTGTGACCTGGAGGGACATAAAAACTGCATGGTATGGAAAATACTTTTTTTTTTTTTTAATTTAAAAACCAATGTAATGGAACATCTTAGGTCAATATAACCAATTGAAGTTAGGAGAAGGGTTTAATTCTTTACCAGTTATACTGATATATAATTTACATGCCCATAAATTCACCTCTTCTAAATATAAATTCAATGGTTTTTATTGTTTTGCATGGAGTTGTGCAAGTCCTCACCACACTCCATTTCTGTCACCTCAGAAGCTCCCTACTCCTGTCCCAGCCCAGGTGACCACTAGTCTGCCTTGTCTGCACACTGGCCTTTTCTGGACAGCTCATACAAATGGAATCACACAGCATGGCATGTTTGGGGCCTGGCTTCTTTATAATGTTTCTGAGGTGTATATAACAGACGGGCAGTCCATTCCTTTTTATTGCTGAAGAGCATTCCATTATATGAATATGCCATCTTGTTTATCCAGTAAAAAGGGGGATTGATTTTAAGAAGGTATGTTCTAGAAAAAATTAGAATGAAATGAAAAAGGAGTCAGTGATGACAGCCGAGCCGATGTCTGCATGAACCTGGCGCCTTAGAAGGTCCGTCCTTCCTGGGCTGTGTTACCCTGGTGGCTCAACAGCTGTGTCTTCCTGCGACACCAGGGCTTCCGTGAATCCCAGGCACACCTGGGCCTCTGGTACCACGCAGGGCTCCTGAGACAGGAGCTAATTATTACGTGTTTTGGGCAGGGGTCTTAGTGGGCCTGGAATATCTTGTTGCCAGAAAATAAAGGTGATTTAAAAAATAAGGCAGTATTGAGAGGACAAAGCAGCCTGTTCAGTGTACCTCCCACTGGCAAGGCTGTGACAATCTGATCAAAAAAGAAACATTAAATACAGCTAAGTAGAAAAAGTTGAGTCTGAAACCCCATGTCTGATATTCAAAAAGGAAAAAATATAATTGAGTTGTATTTCTGGAAGAGTGGATAGAATGTGTTTAATGTTACAATAAGTGGCAGCATGTTGGCATCAATGTGTCACCTCTTCTATTTGTCTGTAAAGCAGAGATGGATACAAAAGCTTGGCCCACTATTCCCCCCAGATCTCTATGGCTTACTCCCTAACTTCCTCAGATCTCGGCTCAAGTGCCATTTATCAGACCGTCCCTGGCCCTCCAGCATAAAGTAGCAACCCTGATCCCCGCACCCCTGACCCTGCTCTACTTACTCAGAACCCTTCCACATGGCATGATTTCTTTTCCCACTAAATGTAGTCTTCATAAAACAGACTTTAAATACTGCTCTACCCTGTCCCTATCGGTGCCTTGATTTCTAGGAGGCACCCAAGACTAGTGATCATTTACAATAACCAGGGGGAAAAGTAGCATGTTATATGATAATGGATTAGCCAGTTGGCCCACTGAGATCTAACAGCAAATTTGATGCCTCTTTCCTGGGCACCAAACCCTTCCTGTGACGAGGTGCTAGTGAAGCATGCACAAGTTTCCAATAGGATGTACTGTGACAGAATGCTAAGCAATGTAGCAATGGGTAGGTAAAACAGAACGCAGTAACCTGGACTCCAGGGCGCCTTAAAACCAGCTGGCCATCACATCATAGTGCCCTAGTCCATTCAGTCTCCCCGAAGACTAGGGCATATGGCCTCCAGCCTCCGATCCCTCTTCCCCAGCGTGCTTCACCGCTGATGGCCTTGCAAGTAGAAGCAGTCAGGAAAGAACGAGCTCCCACCATCACATGCACCCACCTGCCAGCCCTGCCCTCATACTCTGCCTTCTTCCTGTTACTTGCTCCTGGGCCAGTCCCTCCACTTGTGCACTAGATCCCATCTTCTCTGGCCTCCTTGAAGGCACGGCTCCAGCAAGTCTCCTCTCTCACCTGCAGCATCAAATTGTCCTCCTTTCCTGGATCACCCCTATGAGCATACAAAACAGGCTTTAAAAACAAAACTCTACCCTGTTTGCCCCCTCCTGTAATAGCCTCATTCTCTGATGCCCTTTATTGCAACATTTCTGGAGTTGTAATATTCTGGCTCTAATCTTTTTCTTTCCATTCTACCTGATGTTCCCAATACGCATAGCTGTACCTTTTGTAATTGTCTCACAGTTCTTGGGTATTCTGTCCCTTCCCCCACCCCCACCACTGCTTTTTCTCTCTAAATTTCAGTTTGGGATATTTCTACGGACATTTCTGCAAGCTCACTGATTCTTTCCTTAGTTGTGTTCAGTCTACTAATGAGCCCATCAAAGGCATTCATTTCTTCCTATTGTAATGCTTCCTTTTTTAGCATTTTTTTATTCTTAGTTTCCATTTTTTGCTTAGTTACTCATCCGATTATGCATGTTGTCCTTTTTCCATCAGAGACCTTAGCATAGTTATTTTAAATTCCTCGTCTGATAACTCTTAAAGTCTCTGTCATAGCTGATGCTTGCTTTGTTTCTTCAGACTTTTCTTCCTGCCTCTCAGCATCCTTGTAATTTTTTATTGAAAGCTGGACATGAGGTACTGGGTAACAGGAACTGAGGTAAAGAGGCCTTTAGCGGGAGGGTTTACGTTTATCTGGCGGGCTGCTAGACTGTGTTTCCTGTCCGCTGCAGTGTCAGAGGCTTCAGTTTCCTTGTTTTTGTCTTCACCGTTGTCTTTGGGTTTCCCTAGAAACTATTCCTTACACCAGTCTGTTTACAGCTCTCTTAAGAGCTGTAATCCACTGTTGTAATCCTGGAGCCTTATGATGGTATGGTATTAGGGAGAAGCAGCACTCAATAGTCTTATGATTAAATCTGCCTGGGGGTTTTGTTTCTGTTTTTCAGTGTGCTGGAGTCCCTGCAATGAGATTTCAAAGTCTCTTGGCCTTTCTTTCCCTCTTCTGTGGGACAGGAAGGCTAGAGGGGGCTCAAGCCATCCAGCTGCCCTTCCCGTGGGTCAGAGAAGGCTCTGGCCCTGAGGGCAGGCTTCTGCCATGGAAACACACCTTTAAGGGTATTTCAAAACGGCTACATGGGAATTTTTCTGCCATCTTTACAGTGAGAACCTGGGGGAACTTCTGGAGGTAAAACCCACTGAAGTGTGGGAGCCCCTAAGACTAGTTCCCAGGAGTTTTTAACTCTCAGACTAGTCCATACTTGCCTCCAGCAATTCGTTGAAATCCTGACTAATGGCTCCAGCAGCCTCTGCTTGAGAGGATCTCCTCTGTAACTTTCTGCAATTTCCTGTCCCTAGTTTTTGTGGCAGTCTGTGATCTCAGTTCTCTGACGGATCTAGGGAAAGTTGATTTTCAGTTTGTTCAGCTTTTTTCTTGTTGTGAGGACGCCCCATCGTTTCTCAAACAACACTCCAGATTTTCACCTCCCCTCCACTGAAAGAGCACTTGTCAAAGCCACCGATGACCTCCACAGTGATTGCTAAGTCCACTCTTAGAGCTATTACTTGATCTATTTGCTGTATGTGACACAGTGGACCACTCCTTCCTTCAAACATGGCATGGCTTTCAGGGCATCACACTCTACTGATTCTCCTCCCTTATGGTCCACTCTCCATGTCCTCTGCCGGCTCCTCCTCACTGCCCTGGCCTCTTAGCACAAGGAGTGACCCAAAACTCAGTTTCTGGACCTCTGCTCTGTACAGCTCACTCCCTTGGTAATTCCATCTAGTCTCATGGCTTTAAACACCATCTATATGTTCATTCCCACACTTACACCTCCATCCTGAATCTCCCTCTCTTTCGAACTCCAGGCTAGAATATCCAACTGCCTACTTAACATTTCCACTAAGATAACTACAAGGCATCTCAAACTCACTGTCCACAACTAAATTCCCGATCTTTATATGCAAACCTGTGCTACCTAAAGGTTTCTCCATCTCAACTACTCAGACAAAAAGACCGAGAAATCAACCCTGATGCCTCATTTTCTCACATTATTCATCCAGTCTATCAGCAAGTCCTATTTATTTTACCTTCAAGGTGTACAAAATCCGACCACTTCTCAAGATTTCCAAGTGCCAGTACACTGTTCCAAGCCACCTGCACGTCTCACCTGAGTTACTACAGTAGTCTCCTAATTGGTCCGTTTCAATCCTTGCTCACCCCGCTTCCCTAAAATTGGACCTTATCACACTTCTGCTCAAAGCCCTCCAAAGGCTCCCATCCCAGAGCAGAAGCCAAATTTCACAGAGGGCCGTAGGCAGTCTGCAGTACTACCCACTCCCATCCCACCTCTTACTGTTCTCTCTTCCTTGGTCTGCTTCAGCCTTTACTGACTATCACAATGTTCCTGGAGCCTCTAACATGCTCCTATCCCAAGAGCTTTTGGTCTTGAAGTTGCCCCTGCCTGGATTCTCTTCTCCCAGGGGTCCCCAGGGTTCATTCTCATACTGCCCAGCATTTGTTCAAGTGCTGTCTGATGAAGTCTCCTCCACTCCTTAAAATTCCAACATCACTGTGCGTCCCCTAACTCCCTACACTCTCCCCCAACTTCTCTCCATAGCGCTCATCTTCTGATGAACCATGTGATTTGCTTAGTGTCTGTCTCTGTCCATCAGAGTTTAAGTTCAAGGGCAGGGAGATTTGTCTATTTTATTCACTGCTACATTTCAACACCCAGATAAATAGTAAGGCTCATTGTGAGGCACTCAGTAAATATTTGTTAAATTAATGAATAAATATTAGA